CCCCCTGCAAACAAAAAAGAAAACAAGGTTATTTAATAAAAGGATCATGCGACAAATAATCATTGTAATTCAAATTGATGCAAGGATTTTTTTTAATAAGCAATGCTTTTCACCAGAATCTTCTTTGTAAAAACGACTTTTACAAATCTCAGCCATGCAAATCTGCCACTTTGTTGTAAGATCACTTTCAGATTTAAATAGGAGAAGTGTATTCTTTAATGAGTATTTTACATTGAATGGAACGTCTCAACTCAGTAAGCATGGCTGAGATTTTTAAAAGTTCTTTTTACAAAGAAGATTCGGGTAAAAAGCAGTGCTTATTCAAACAAATATTCGCATCAATTTGAATCACAATCATTATTTGTCGCCTAATCCCTTTTAATGACTTTGTTTTCTTTCTCGTTTGCAAGGGGAGAAGAAGATATGTCACGTTAAAGACATCATAAAGATCAGTGTTGTATGCGTATATAATTATATACACAGGCCAGTAACAGCTATGTAGCTTGTAAATTTGTAAGAGGGAAAATGCTGATTGAAATAATAATGATGAAATAGCAAATAATTGAGGAGTATCATAGGTACCAATTCAATGGATATTTGTATAAAAAAGAGCCCCCGTCAGTACTAAAAGAGCCCCCGTGAGAAGGCTCACGGGGACTCTTTTTTTTGGGGGGGGAAGAGCCCCCGTGGACAAAAAATTAATTTGAGCCCTGTACTAAATGGATTGCAATCACTAAAGTCGATTCGACAACTAATGGTCGTTATTTTTCCACTAAAAGGCATTTTCAAGCCCTTTCGTTTTGAGGGAAGTTCTAATTTAGTATTATATTAAAATGCCGTTGGAATTTAACCTTTCCCTTGGTTTGTCCTGCAAATGGGGCATAGTATCTTTAAATGTTATATCTTTTACTTTAGCTTTTGATCTAATTAGCATGACTTCACTTGTTTTTAAATAGCATTTAGACATAATTTGTTTGAATTCAAACATTTAGAGAGACGTACCAGATCAGCATTGATTACATTTGCAATAACCTCTGTTGTTTTACCAGGGTGATATATACAGGTGTCGTTGGTGTATATAACTGCACAGTATATTACACTTTTTGATGGCCACCAAAATGAGGGGGCCTACATTGGCCTCCTGAGGTATTCCACAAACCACTGATACATTCAACTTGTTTGATCTTACACCATTTACAACTGTGCATTGTCTTCTATCAGTCAGATATTTGAGGTACAATGCACAAGCACTCTAGAGCTTATTCAGAAGGATCGATAGTGAGATCAACCGTATCGAATGCCTTTAAAAATCACTTGCAATGCTATTGTCTGTATTTCATTGCTGGGTGTCCTTGGGATTATTTCGTCACTCTGAATGATTGCGTCGCTATTGCGGTGGTCACATCCCGCCGTACTTGCAAGTGCGTGCTGTCTACGTGCAAAAACGTGGGCAAAATTTGGGTATCCGTACGTGATGAGTACCGCCTCCGTACGGATTTGGGAGCACGCAGACACACCGTAGCACTTTTAGTGCATGAGGAACTTTCGCTGCGTTCGGGCTGCGTTCGGGCTACCGATTCACCCCAGTGCGTGTGACGGGCGTTGCCGGTACTCCCTCCCTGCCTTTGCCACTCCCTCCTTACGTTTTCAGAAAAACGTGGCAGACGTGGCGGCCCCAAAAACCGTACGGACTAAAAACACGCACGGTGGGATGTGACCAACGCTTCGGTCAAGGATTGAATACATAAATAGCTCATCCCTCTACTCAATTGTGCTGTCATCTGCAGAGTACGTGGTGATCTATAACTCAAAAAAGGGATAAGACGTACGTCCCTCATAATTATTTGACACTTATTTGCATGTTTTGTGCATCCAGCTATAATCAGCGATTCTGAATTGACTCGACTGATCTGCATAATCCATGTTCAGACGGGGGTCCCTAGTCGGCGTAAGTAAATTTTGTAGCAATAAATATTCCATAAATATTTGACACCATTAGTTGTCCATACGCTCCAAATCCGACCGAGGCCCAGTCATCCTCGTCATAACTTCCAGACGTGGTCGCACCCACAGCTTCAACCCAGCTTCCGCATCTAAACCGCACGAAATCTAATTTTCATTTCCGATTGTAAACAAACTATACTTGTGAAAGGCCCGGCCCCCCCCCCCCCCCACTCAGAGGTCGGAATGACCGCATGCGTGTTGCCAAAATGTCCGGTAAAGGGGTACTTTTCGTGCGACAAAGTCCGGCCCGAGAATTGTAAAAAAAAAGGGGTGTATTTGACTTTTCACCCGGAGATTTCTTTAAAAAGGGGGTGTTTTTCTTTTTTTCTCTCATCTCTTTGGACTCCTGAGAAATTATTCTGAATTTAGGGGGGTACATTGAGCATTTTTCCTGATTTAGGGGGGTCTCCAAGGCAGGAAAAGCACGCGAAAAGCCCCCGAAAGGGGGGTTCGGAAATGTTGGCAGTCCTCAGATAGGGGGTGCTTTCAAAAAAAGGGTACGAGCATATGCGTACCCTAAATAACACTGAGTGGGGGGGGGGGGCGGGGTGAAAGGTCACATATATTCCGAGTTCCAAGTGATCCACACGGTCAACTTGTCTTAAAATACCCCAGGTGCGGATCCACGAGGGGGGGGGGGGAGGGGGGCGACAGGCCCGGCCCCCGACCAAAACAAAGTTTTTTAAAAAGACGGGCCTCCACCCTGGCCCTCCCAAAGGAGGGGGGGGGGGGGGGAGAGATGGTGACCACAATATTTCCTTTAACAAAAAAATGAACTGCTCTTTAACCCCCCCCCCCCCCCCCCCCCCCGCTTATTCACCGGCCGGCTCATCGGCTGATTCGACGCAAAATATGTTTTCATGAAAAACAAAATTAGTGCTCCCCCTATAAAACGTATGACCTAAAGTCCTAAACAATCTATTTTAGGTAAAGGTTCAGGATGCATCGATGCCACATATTCAACTTACAAGTTACATGACCGTTATCAAGTAAATTGGCCAATTTAATCTTCGTTTAAATCCACTTTGCCATGTAAATAATGTAAATAATTGGACTCGTATTTCAGAGCGTCTTGAGAGGGAATATTGTTCGCTGTTTTTTAGCCGCAATGCAGTTGCCCGTTGCTTGTCGGCAGGGCGTGTCGTTATTCGGACTCCCAGTGTGAGCCCACCTTTGTGTTTGTTGATTGTGTTTTGTTTTCTGTGTTATTTGCCCTTATATTGAACAAAATCTTCCACAGGTAGTTCGTCGCCTTTTTTCGCCCCGGTACTCTTACCTGATGCAAAGTGACATTACTTTTATTTCAATGAATTGTCATGGCCTAGCAAATAATAAGAGAGAGAAGATGTTTTTGTTATATTTGAAATCTAAATTATATGATGACACTCATTTCACTCCTGACATAGAAACGGAAATATGTCGCAAATCAGACGGGGGGGGGGGGGGGGGAGGGGGGGGGCAAATGTTTTTTCTCTTATCGGACATCCAGCTCTAGACGAGTAGCAATTCTGCTTAAGGGCATTATTCCGGTCAAAGTTAACCCAGGCAGAATAGACAGAAGTGGAAACTTAGTTTCGATTTGACATTATATGAGTATGACATTACACTGGCATCTTTATTTGGCCCGAACACTGATAATTTAGCTTTTTATACTGATTCACTGATTAGAAAATCCACATGTCATTATTTGTAGAGACTGGAATTTAGTGCAAGATCAGACCCTTGATACTCATAATTATGTTCATGTAAATAACCCGAGGGCGAGACAGCAGGTTAACCATATAAAGAACGAATTAAATATATGCGACCAATGGAGAATTAGATATCATGTGAAAAGATATTACACTAGTCGCCAGCTGAAACCTTTTAAACAAAGTAGATTAGACTTCTTTTTTTACTATTAGAACTGCCCTCATTAGTTCATAAATCTGATTTTGAATCTGGTTAAAGGTAATACAAAGTTTTGGTACAGGGTCATGAATTTGGTTCAAATGAACATATTGGAAGCATATGTGATCCTACAATATTCGGTGATCGTTGTCGCGGTTGAAATCGAGTCTAAAGTTATGAAATTGTAAATAATGAACTCTTCATGTTGTATAGCTCCCTCTCAAGGTCAAATATTGATTAAACCATAAAACAATGTTCTTGACTAAAATCGACCGATTGGCTATTCCCGTTTGGCAATTACATATCACAACTACATATTCTGAGATTTTCATGGTCGCACTTACCATTGTATGGCCGTAAGCGCTATTTGAAATTCATCAAAATTTACTGGGAGTACCGATTAATTTTTATATTCAATTTTTCTCGAAAGCAGAAGTGTTTTAGGGACTACATTTTCTAGTGCTTATAATACATCCACAGGGTCATCCACAAATATCAAAATTGTAAAGAATCATTATCCAGCCAATTTTAAAAAATTCCCAAAACTTTGTATTACCTTTAACGAACAGATCACTGATTAGTTTTTCTTAGCTTGCCTTTAAATACAATTAAACGGGGTCCTGCATGGCATTTTGAAATTTAATAATTCTTTACTAAAAGATGAAAAGTTTGTGACAAAAATTATAAAAACTATAAAAGAGATAATTAAATATTATGCAAAAGATGAGGTAGAGTTCGATGAAAATGATAACATAGTTGGAAATTGTGAATTTTCTATTAAATGACTAATTTATTTTTAGAAACTTTGATAATGTTATTATAGGGTGAATCTATAATTATCATATGGCTTGTTCATCAAGAAACAAAACATCAGTCGGGAATAGGAACTACATAGAAAGAAATATCGAAGTACTGGAACAAAGACTAGTAACATTTGATGATGAGACTGCACTTCTAAAAGAATTAAATGATAAAAAGACACAACTTGAAACCTATCGCTTAAAAGTAAGTGATGGAATTATCTTGAGATCCAAACAATAAAATGGAGAAAGGTCATCGAACTTTTTTCAAACTTCGAAAAATAGAATAAAGTATAAATAAAGAAATATGGTAATTGTCAACAGATAATGGAAATGTTTATTCGTAGAAAAGATGGTATATCAAACGAAGTCTTTACATTTTATTCAAACTTATATAAGACGAAAGACACTGAAGAGGTAGATATAAACACATTAACACATTATTTATTTAACTCCAGAATTGTACCATTTATTAAAAGGTCTTTTGTGTGAAAGTAAGATTTATTTAATGCTAAAAGGTACGAAAAATGATAAATCCCCTGGGCGAAATGGCTTCACCGTTGAATTATTTCGTTTCTTTTGGCAATATCTTAAAACGTTCATGATCAGACCTTTGAACTTCAGTTCGCTTCTTTTATAGAAGAACTGTCGCAGTCACAAAAATTAGGAATAATCACATTAATTCCTAAAGGAAACAAGCCATTTATTACAAAATTGGCGTCCTATTTCACTTTTAAATGTTACATACATAAATAGCATCATGGTGCATATATTTAAAGCTAATCGATTAAAGCATGTTTGCCCTTCTTGACACATAAGAATCAAAAGGGATTTTAGAAAGGCCGTTTTATTGAGGAAAATATTCGTTTATTTTATGATATATTATTATACCCCGCACTTAATGACATACCAGGCATGTTGTTGATGATTGATTTTGAGAAGGCCTTCGATTGTATACCTCACAAGTTTCTATTCAATGTCCTTGCTTTTTTTCATTTTGAGCCACCACTGAAAAACAAATGGATTCATCTATTTGATAAAAATACATCTTTTTGTGTCACAGTAAATGTATTTTGCAAAGAGAGATTTACTATGGGACGAGGGTGTTGTCAAGGAGATCCGTTATGCCCTACCTTTTTTGTTTTACTTCTTAGCGAAATATTAGGAATTTTGATTAGACATTCCAACGATTTCATTAGGTTGTATCTACAAGGAAAAAAATAGTAAACTACTACAACACGCAATTGAGACCATTTTGAGTGCACTGAAAATATTAAGTTATTTTGATGAAATGTCAAACCAATATTACAAAAACTCATGTGATATGAATCGGGAAAAACAGAGCCTGAAAATACAGCTACTGCCATAGCAAAAACTAAATTGGGTATCAGAAAGTAACTCAAGATACTTGGATTCCATCTTAAAACACAAGGATTCCAAAGGATACCAAATCTTCGTCGGAAATTCCTTACACTTGATAGCGATAAACAATGTCAAAAGAAGTTTTCACTCCTCATGAAAATGTCATTGTACTTGCTACCATTGATCTCTCTATACTGTGGTTGTCCTTGATTCAACTGTGACGGGTTTCTGTGGATAGTCAAAGTACTGGGGCTGAGGCAAAAAGTGCTCACTCTCCGGCGACTGATTTGGCGCCAAATCTACCGGAATTTTCGCGTACGCCGTTCCGTTGACAGGTTGGAGAGTCTACAGTAATGAGAAAACACACAGGTTATACAAATTAATTATTATCAATTAATTGTCATAAAATATATAATGGTATTCTATAGCTTGCACCTACTTCTAATGTTATCATTAATTGATAAGTAATGTTGATGAATTAAAGCAATTGTGCAACTATGAAAATGGCTTCTTGGTTTATGGTCGTACATTAAGAAACATTAGAACTACATGTACGTTACAAAACTTTTGCATTTCTTTATAAAATACGTCGATATAAAGTCATGTCAATCGTGCTTTTTAATATAGACAAAGGGCACTCACCTTAGCACCTGGATATTCGTCATCAATTACGCCATTTGCAATATTGAGCTTTTTCTGCCACTTTGTAGGGAGACAGCAACAGAAAGCATCTCCGACGTTAATCAGTAATCGTTTGTCTATCGTATCTGGATCATTAAAACCTGAATAGTTGTGATATACAAAAGGAAATAAAATAAACATTGGATTATTAAAAACGATGGAATTATTACGTATTCTGTTCGATAATCATAAGCAAAGAAAACAGTAATGTTAACCATTAATCCAATTTAGACAATGCTACTACACTATATCATGAATTTTGGTAACCCCTCCGTTCATCTATGAGAGTTTAATTTTAATGTACGTGTAATTAATATGATAAAACAAGATAGACGTAAAGTTTGTGATATTTTGAAGTGTGATATTTCAAACATCGGTTTGCATGTAAAAGAATTTTGTTTAAATAGAAATTGGCAATATCTAAATATAACACAGCCTTATCTTCTCCTACTATCTTAATTAAAACGTTACAACGCAAAAGAAAGTTGTGCGCATGCACGAGAAAGCTCGCTTAGTCAAAAGAAGATTTCTTTTTCTCATACTTTTTATGTATTAAATGCCATGTATTTTTTCGTGTGTATTTTCTTCCTTTTCAAAAGATCTACGTTTTAAAGGATTTGATATTGTTCGAAATCGTTGTTTTGAAAATTCATCATGATTTTGCTTGTCATCAAAGCAATGTCAATGAATAATCTAACTGCATGGATGCCTAACAGTAAAATGATATAAAATCTGATACTAACCTGTAATAGCACTAACTATGAAAGCTACTGCTATTGTGATGAGGAATCCTAAGGGGCCATACAAGTGATAAGACAACGAGTAGAAGTTTTCTAGCCCCGTTCTAGAACAACAAGACAATTTAATAGTAAAGACAGGTGATTGAAAATCTGAAATGCTTTTCTATTAAAGGATAGGATTGTTCTTTTTTTCATCACCGTTATTTTTTTTCATGTGAAAACCCTTTTTTCGAAATATTTTTTTTCTTTATATTTTGTAATTTGTCACAGATGGCATAATTTTATACAGAGGTTTATTGAAAGGGCATACTTTAAATACATTTAAAACAAATAGATAGGAAATAGATAAGAAAAACATAATGTATCATACAGGTGGAAATATTAAAATCATATAAAATGTATCAACCCATAACGTATAATAAAACATTATACATGTCCACGTATTATTTACCAGGAGTTGTTAATGAATTCAAGCAATTCACAACTCTCATCAGGAAAGGACCGATTGCAGTCTCAATAGCCTTGTGCATCACATTTTGCAATAGTGAACAAGAAAATGACCGATTACATGATTTGTACAGGCAAATGCAATACAATAGAGAACTTAAAGTGACCTCGAGCCGGTTTCTTCTTTGTGAGTGTTTCTCACGGTCTGCTTCGATCTTTTCTTCTCTTATATAAGTATTCCTATTGTTTTCTTTCTAAAGAGCTACTCTATACAGCAAAAGTAGCACAAAGGGATTCAGTCGAATGTTCTGAATTAACATCAATAGTGTTAATGAGCACTAGTTTGTCTTTTTCTTTTGTGTCCCCGGTAATTTGAAAATCACGCCGGCTGATATTTCGCTCAACATCCCCCCCTTGAGCAACCAAAAAAAAGTTAAATTTCGGGTCATAATATTCTTTTTTAAAAACTGATTTGGCCTGTCTTTTTTTTTTGCCATTGAGGGGGGGGGGGGCAAGGCCCGCTCGGCTCCCATGGAACTGCGCCTGGCTACCACTGTCCCCACAAAATATCACTCTGACTCAGTTACAAACATAAATACAAAACAACAGCATGTAGATGAAAATGGACTTGAAACATAATACAAGTAACCTCATGGTTAGGCCTAAGTGTGTTCCAAAGTGTTCGATTTAGCGACACAAAGAACTGTACCTTTCATCAGTCACTGTCTCGTTGAGGGGCGATTCCGTGAAAGATGTCCATGTCCCGATTTCGGTTACCATGGTTGTATAATAGGTCAAGTTGGTTGAGTTCTGCTCACCAACACAGCCTTCGACAGAAAGAGGTAGAACATCCGATCGAATGTTATCTGCGAACATCTTTCCAACTTTCAGCCACGTCATTGTGCTTATGCTCACTATGGTTCCGAGCAAAACACCCTTAAATGTCAACAAAGAAAATATTAAGAATAAATTAGATAACATGTATTTGACCAGAGGCCCAAGATACAATTTTTTTCTTCAGGACAAGGGGAAATGGGCTAAAGAGGGGCAAACGGCCGGACAAAATGAGAGATTGAGAGAGTGGGAGATAGAGAGGGAGGGAGAGAGAGAGAGAGAGAGAGAGAGAGAGGGAGGGGAGAGAGGAAAGGAGAGAGAGAGAAAGAGAGAGAGAGAGAGAATGTTATTAAATCCCCTCATTTTCTGTACCTGGTTTGGTCAAGGGCGCTTCAAAATAATCAGACATATTTTTATCAAAGCAGAACAACCCTTCATTGATTCATAGATTTGCAGTCAGAGTCGAGATAAATTATTGATTAATTCATTCATTTATAACCAGCTATTTATGCGAACGGCTCGGGCTACCCGTGGGCGAAAGGGCAGAAGAACGTTGCGTTTCCACTTGCAGGCTGATAATAACGTAATTTCGTCACATTCTTTTTGGAGTCTCGGCTATCTCATGATACAGTACTATAATAGTCAACTTTATCCAATGGAATTAACTCGACTCTTCCAAGGGAGTGTATTTCATTTTGTAAATTGACCTGTTTATGTTGATTTTGCCAGCAGAAGTAAACAAAAAATATGTAAAATATGTGTCTTTAAAAGTGTGTAAGTTGAAAACTTCCGACTTCATACACAAAATTATGCCAGTGGCGTTTAATACCAAGGTTCTCTTTTTACTTGGTTACTTACTTACTTACTTGGTGACGGATACGACATGGCATAGTTTATATGAAAGTTAATTCCTCTCTCTCTCTCTCTCTCTCGCTGCCCCATCACCATTTGAGAATACAGAGAATTAAGAAATATGGTCCAAAGAGAGGTGAAAAGGCTAAACTCGATTACTTACAAAACAAGATAGAAGAAAATAAACAAGATTCGAAAAAACTTTGGCAGAATCTAAAAAGCTTGGGATTGAAAAATAAGAAGCGAAAAGAACAAGAATCTGTCATTAAAATTGATGGGGAATTATGTCATGATAAGATGGACATCGCTGATGAATTCAATTCTCATTTCACAAATGTGGCTGCCAAATTAGTAGACAAACTCCCCCCTTCCAAAGACTTTTTCAGCGCAGACAATGATTGTATTCGTGAGTTTTACGAAAGAAAAGGTGTACGTGAAAACACCTTCGAGTTATTACCAATCAGTGAACAATTTGTTTTCAAAGAGTTACGTAAGTTGAATGTATCAAAAAGTACTGGGTTAGACTTGATTCCAGCTAAATTTCTAAAAGATGGTGCGAAGGTTTTATTTAAGCCTCTAAGTTACTTAATGAACCTATCTATCTTGACGAGTACTTTTCCAGAGGATATGAAAATAGCAAAAGTGACTCCACTTTATAAAAAGAAAGATAAAACTGATGTTAGCAACTATAGACCCATTAGTGTTTTAAGCGTAGCATCAAAGATTCTATAAAATCGGTCTGTGTTCAAATTGAAAGATACTTCTAAGAAAATGATATAATTTATGAATTTCAATCTGGTTTTCGACATGAATATTCGACTGAAACTTGTCTAATTCATTTGACTGATTATTTGCGGAGAGAAACTTCCCAAGGGCGCTTTGTTGGTATGGTGCTCCTTGATCTGCAAAAAGCTTTTGATTCAGTTAATCATTGCGTCTTATTGAAGAAGTTACAACTAATGGGTTTTGATAAGGCAAGTTTAGATTGGTTCAGATCCTATTTATCTAATCGACACCAAGTAGTGGCCATTCATGATATTCGTTCCAAACTAATGCCTATAACATGCGGTGTTCCTCAGGGAAGTATTTTAGGCCCAATTCTATTTTCAAGTTATATAAATGATATGTGTATTTGTATAAAAGACTTCAAACTATTATTGTACGCAGATGACAGCGTACTACTCTATTCAAATCCTGATCCTAAATATATTGAGGAAAAGCTCAGTGAACAGCTGTCTACGTGTGTCGATTGGATGACTGATAATAAGCTTTCTTTACACTTGGGAAAAACAGAAAGCATTTTATTTTGTTCTAAAAGTAGTTCTAAAAAGTCATTTGAATTCAAAGTGACACACAATAATCAAGCAATCAAGAGAAAAGAGTATGTGAATTATTTAGGCATTGAGTTGGGTAGCGCAATTTCATTTTCATCTTTAGTAGAATCAGTTGTAAAAAAAGCAAATTCTCGTCTGAAATTTTTGTACAGATATCAAAGTTGTATGGATTTAAAAGCAAGACGTACACTCTGTTTTGCTCTTATTCAATGTTTATTTGACTATGCTAACCCTGCATGGTAAAGTAACATAAACAAGTCAGATCAAAAGAAGTTGAAGATTATACAGAACAAAATGGTGAGATTTATCAACTGTTCTGTTCCAAGAACTCATGTTTATTTAATATATTCAATATACTCATGTATATTGTTGGCTACAGCGAACTTTCTAAAGCTGGTTTTCTTGAAGTCGACTAAAGATCAAAACAACTCGTATTGCATCACGTGCATAAAATATATCATACTAGCTCGAATCTTTATATTTGATCCAACTTCGATCTTGTTACTGACGTATATGATTATAATACAAGAAATAGCCGATTCAACTTTAACTTACCAGAAAGAGTAGGTAGTATTGGAAATTCGTTTTTTTACAATGCCATAAAACATTGGAATTCCCTTCCCAATGGTGTAAAAGAAATAGGAAACTATGAGGAAATTAAAGGAATACCCAATACTTGACAGTCGGAGAAGAGAAGTGAATGACATGTTATATGATTGAAATTTTGTATTCTTCTGTCGGTTCATACTTTTTCATGTTGTATATACTTATTTTTTCGTACGTTATAGAAATTCTACAAATTCATCATTATTTTCCTCTTCTTCCTTCTCCTCTTTTTCTTCTTCTCCTTCTTCTTTTTCTTCTTGTACTTAATATCATTTCTATCATCAGTTTAATGTTGTTATTATTATTATTATCTTTAATAAGTAGTTCTTTTAATTTTCTTATCGGTCTGTAAATATTACTATTTTAATTTATTAATTTTATACATGTCTGTAAGGGACCCCACTCTCGAGCTTTCGTGGGTTATCCTGTTCAAGCTGACTTATTTTCGATCTGTTATTATTGTATATTGTTGTATGTTGGAAGCTTGTCGAATAAAAATCAATCAATCAATCGAGGGGTGGGGGTCACTGCACTCTGCAGTGTGGTTTAAGAGGCCTTTGAAGTTGTTTGTCGAATACTTATTTTTTAATAAAGAAAGGATTACTTACTTTGTAATTAATCCTTGGGCAACAAAATCCAAGAGTGAACGTCGCGACGACAGCCCCGTAGGTGATACCATAAATAGACAAACCCATCTAAATATACAAGAAATCACAGGAAATAATTTTTTTAAAACAAATCACTACTGTACAACCATATCCATGCGTTGTTGTATATGGATTGAATTCAGTGAATGGCCGTATGCAGGTGGTGGTGATGGTGGTGGTGGTGGTGGTGGTGGTGGTTGTGGTGGTGGGGGTAGTGGTGGTGTATGAGTGTGTTGGGTGGGGGCCGAAGGGGCTGCAGCCCTCTACGGATTTTGAGACTGCCAGTATTTGGGCAATCGCCATATCATAAATTTGCAACGAAATGGTATACTTCTAATATTCATACCTTATCTTGTATATTTGAAAGATGAAATAACAGTTATGCGTCAATTTATTTGTTGTTCGTTTGACACGCTCGCAAAAATTAAAAACTAGAAAATTAATATAATAAGCCGGCCCCCTATCCCTCTTAACTGCGCCCCTACGCCTGAGATGCAGAGTCTATCTCTCAAGTATTTTTAAAGTGTAGTATTCGTCATTGGACCTGTTTATAGTGAATACATTTCCATTATGTGGCCATAATTGCATGCCGTGAAATGAAACGTTTTAAAATGGCGACATCCATCACTTTTTAACGGATTAGAAAAAAAAAGCACAACATGGAACCTCACAGTGTTCAAACTATCAATTGAAATCACGATTTCGACTCATTTTTACCTTGTGCTAACTACGACTTGCTCTGTTTAAAAATAGGATAGAAATTAATTTCTTGCTTTGAAACTACCTGTAAGTGATTTGATATCAAGAATGATATACATTTCGACTTCACTACTTAAATTAGTATTGGGTACGTGTATATAGAACTTAGCAATTAATCTTTAATCATATGATTGTGTAGGCCAGCAGGGTCACTTTGTAACTGACAATGCTACCCTGTATAAATAAAAATAAAAATGAATACAAATTTGGCCAAAATTAAAATGATTGAATCTTTGCGCAGCACAAAGCGTATACCATTCGGTAAAAGGGTATGAAAATCAAACTATTTGATAAACGGACTGCAATCCCTAAATTCGATTCGACAAAAATGACCGTTATTTCACCACAAAAAGACATTTCCAAGCCCTTTCGTTTTGAAGGGAGTTTTAAATTAGTATTATATCTTTCAAATGCCGTTGGAATTTAACCTATAATTTATTTTTTGGCTTGCAAATGGGACGTAGTACCTTTAAGTACATAATATTCATAATATTGCGGATAAAATCGTAGTAAGGTAGTAAAGTATTACCTCGAGTACTTGATCTCCCATCACCATGGCAAGAAATGCAACCCCAATCGCTAGTAATCCAAATAAAAAAGCTGTACCATAAACGAGATAAAAACAAGATATTAAACAAGATATTGTAATATACAAGTATTGCATTTAACACGTAACTCAATTGAGAAAAAAAAAACGAAAACGATTGATGAAATACTTTGTAAATATGTGAGTCATAATGATGTCGACAAAATACTTTCAAATACGTTTTTGTTCAAACTCTAGTAATTGATATGCCTGTATCTTTTTGTACAACGAAACAACACAGCAAAAAATAAAAAATAACAGTCATCTGTGTTGAAGACTACTTTTTCTTGATTTCATAGATAGTCGTAAAATATGGGTGCAATAACTACCATATAATGATAGAATGATAGACCTAAGTGTTACCAGTGGCGTAGCTTTGGCTCAGTCATGGGGGAGGGGGGCAATAGTGTTTGGTCTAAGAGATCAGCGTTTTCAACCTGTTTTTTGTTAAAGTCACGGCATACTTTTAGGAGTTAAAGCCCACTGTACTACTTGTAGCTACTTGCTCCCTCTATATAGAAAACAATGCCTAATCGGTGACCATTGGTCCCCCGTGATCCTGTTAATTGAGAGCTGAGATGTATATTTATGAATATTCACTTCCCCCGCAGGCGCGGATCCAGGATTTTCCAATAGGGGGGCCGGAAATTCGAAATTCGCGCAGACCGTTATATAAACTTACCAATACTGACAAGGTCATATTAGAAGCACTGTACTTTAATAGTGTATTGGTACCTACAAACGGGCACAATTATTTTGGAAAGGGGACATGCTCACGTCACATCTCTTGTCCGATATCAACATTCCCCGTTTTCAAGTTATGCTCGCGCGCAATTTTTTTTGACATTTCCATCAGTGGGGGCTGAAGCCTCTTGCCCTAATATCTATTTCCTGGTTTAATAATTTGGCGAGTGAGCGAAGCGAGTGAGCGGAAATTTGAGCTTATGTATGTTGTGAAAAGTGTTAATTGTCACCAAAATATACGAGATAAGATATAACAAATGCATATTGGTAATTTTTAAATTTTCGGGGAAAGAGAGGCTGCAACACCATCACGCATTAACTGCAGGTGTTTTGAAATCAAATCAGACTCCCCAAAAAATTGTTAACCAAAACGCACGAATCCAGTTTCAAAAATCCAAAAAAATGTCAGCTTCAGAGGGGGGCACATCACCCATCAGACTCCCTCTAAAAGTATTAACCGAATCGCACGAATCTAGGTATAAAAAAAAATCAGCTTCAGAGCTAGAGAGGACCCCCCCCCCCCACACACACACACACACCCTGTGCGCGCCAGCGTGAAATTAACGCTGGCGCTAATGCGTAAGCAGGGGCGGAGGAGCTATTTCCAAAGTGGAAAGCACCAACAAAAAAGGGCACCTACAAAGCGAAATCTCAAAGCGAAAATATACATTTTTTTAGACATTGGTATATACCCTTTCATTGTGATCCCATTATCAGGGACGATTTCAATATTTGTTTTTCTTTATATATCATACAAGTTATTGCTTAAGCATCACACTTTCGGCTAAGTGTGATTGTCTGAATATTCATTTGCGAGCGAGCAAAGCGAGCGAGAAAAAATGTAAGATCTGTGAGGTCGTAGAGTAAAAAATTACATCTTATAAAGAGGGGGGGGGGGGATCATGATGGGGTTATAAGCATCACGGAAGACTAAAAAAACATTTGTTTTAAAGTGACATAATTATAATTGTATCATCTATAAATGCGAGCGAGCAAGCGAGCTTTAGGGGAAATTACTCTTAGTCGCTTTAAATTTGGTGCAAGACTAATGATGAGCAGGTTATGGGGGCACGTGCCCCCCCCCCCCCCGATGATGAGAGGTTAAGGGGACACATATCGAAAGGGATAAAGACACTTATTAGAAAAGAAAAGGAGCATGTGTCAAGGTACAAAGAGTAATTATCAAAGGTTCAAACTGGGCACTTCTTACACCTGAAAGGAGGCACTCACCAGAAATGAGATAGGGCACTTATGAGTATGGGAAATGGGCATTTGTCGACGGAAAAGAGGCATCCATCAGAAATTGATTTATCAGAGGTGAAAAGGGGCATTTATGAAAAGGGGATAGGTCCCTATATAGAAAGGAAAAGGGGCACGATTCAAAATTAAAGGGCAGTTAGCAAAGGTGAAAATGGGCACCCATCATAGATGAAAAGAGTACTTATCAGGAGGGGAAGGGGTACTTTTCAAGGTAAAATGAGCATCTCTCAGATTCGAATAGGGGCAATTATCGGAGGTGAAGAGCGCACTGAAGTGAAACGAATTAACTTCATATATATGAAAATGGTCATTTACCAGAGATGAAAAGGGACACTTTTTATTTATGAAGGGCCTCATTTTTCTAAATAGCCCTTATCAGATAGGAAAGGGGGCACATGTGTTGATGAAATGTGCGCTTATCCGAGTTAAAAAGGGGAAGGGGCACTTCTTTACAAAGTAAAAGTGGCCCTTTTAGGGGGGGGGTACTTGAAGAGTGGGGCGAACTTTGCCCCCTACCCCTGCCACCCGCCCCATCATCTGAAAATCCAAAATGATGTTGTAGGGGCCGGGCGCGGCTTTATCATGAGTGCTTTTATGTGAACCTCTTTTTTTATAAATATATTATGCTGGATTCTGACCCAGATTGCACACTCTAAAATGATAGTATGATCATCCCCAATACGCTTGTAGTTCACGTATGCACCCCTTCCTCCTAATTCGTCGTTACCGTCACTGCCATTTACGTATGGCCGGTGTGACCGCGTAGAATGTAACCCGCACCGATCGTCCGACTATTAGAGATCGATCGAGAGCGGACGATCGGTGCGGATTTTATCCGCGCAGAATGTCCGTGTCGGACATTCCGTGTGCGCCTCAAATGTCTGACGGACAATCCATGCGGAAGAGGTCTCGCACCAATAGTCCGCCTGCCGCACCGAATGTCCGTACTCTAGTCCACACATATACATAGTCAATATAGTGGAGGCTGTTAGGGCTAAATAGGGGTTGTTTGGTGCAGATTCTTCTAAAAGCACCAAATTTGCCCCAGAGGTAGATTATACCATACTTTTACGATTTCTTCCGGACGCCAAGAAGGGTACCCTCTGGGTATGCCATATTAGGCAAATTCAAAATGGCCGCCATCTGAGTTAAAGGTCAAGCGTAGTTCGGAAAAGCGGTTGTATGATAATAGTTTATATATTTATGGGGTTTTGGGGGTCAGAGAATCTGATTATGATATTCTTTCATCAATTTAAGATCTCCTTGGGGCTGCCATACTGGTCATATTGGTCAAATCCAAAATGGCCGCCATCTGATAGTTACAGGTCAAGTGTAGTTACGAAAGAAAATGGGCTAGTATGATAAAAGTTTATATATTTATGGGGTTTTCGGGGTCAGAGAATCTGATTATGATATTCTTTCATCGATTTGAGATCTCCTCGGGTCATACTGGTAATATTGGTCAAATCCAAAATGGCCGCCATTTGATAGTTCCAGATCAATAGTAGTTCCAAAAGGAAAAGAGCTAAAATGATAAAAAAAATTATATAGTAAGGGGGTTTTCTGGGTCAGAGAATCTGATTATGATGTTGCTTGTATCAATATTGCAGGTCTCCTTGGGGCTGTCATGCTGGCCATATTGGCCAAATAAAAAATGGCCGCCATCCGAGTTAAAGGTAAAGCGTAGTTTCAAAAGGAAAAGGACCAGTATGATAAAAGTTGATGAATTCATGGGGTTTCCGGGGTCGGATAATCTGATTATGATGTTCTTTTATCAATTTTATTTCACCATCCTGTCCTAAGGCTACAATGAAGTCCATTTCCTAGTTGAAGAAGATGAGTGAAGATGCGCCAAATTCACACTTGAGTGGGTTTAAATCTTGGCCTGCGCCCATATGTTTCATCAATATGCAAACTTTCCTCTGTGAAATGCATAATACATTCGTTTTCGAGGATTGGCAAGGAAAAAAGATAAACAGTAAAAACAGACCATGAATAAAGAAATAAACAGCTTGTTCGATTTGTTTTGAAGCATTATATTCAAAGACCCGGACAGCTTTATCTTTATTATCCATATAAATAACGTCTCTAATCACTGTCAGACGGGAGATAATACCAATACGAAATGCATTAAGCAACGTCTAGACATAACGGTCGAATCTCAACTTTAGTTTTCTCATTCTTCTTTACATTTCGAAGCGTTACATGGGATCTTAATCCTTAATCTTAATTTAAGCATGCTTTGAATCTGGTCACGCTTCGAAAAGTTCGTGGCCTAGCATTTTGCTTCTGTTGATGATCAAATAGAGAAAGCACCCTTTATAGATCAAGGAGAGATTGAACAAAGCACGAAGTAGGAGCAGTGCAATTTAAATATCAAGGGATGGATTAGAGTTTATTTCTAAAATGAAATGAAAGGGCTATTTTATTTTCATGAGTCCTTTCACTTCATTGAAGAAATAACCTCTCTTTATATCTTAGAGACACTTTCTCTTAAAAAGTCAAATAAACTCGAGAGCATCCTAGGGCTCCGCCCTGGAACCCCTGGTAGGGGCTCTTCCAGGCCCCTAAAGCTGTGCCATAGTGTACGGATCCATTAAGAAAGCAAAATAAGCCCAATAAATAATTTGTATATATATATATATATATATATATATATATAGTTCTCCTATGCAAACTTCCTCTGTGAAATGCATACTAAATTCGTTTTCGAGGGTTGGCAATGAAAATAGATAAACAGTAGAAACAGACCATGAATAAAGAAATAAATAGCTTGTTCGATTTGTTTTGACGCATTATCTTTAAAAACCCGGACAGCTTTATCTTTATTATCCTTAAAAAATAACTTCTATAATCACTCTGAGATGGAATAAAATACCAAAACGAATTGCCATATGCAACGTCTAGACATAAAGGTTGAATCTCAACTTTATTTTTCTTATTCTTCTTTTAAATTTCGAAGCGTTGCATGGGATCTTAATCCTGTTTTTTTTCTACATACATTAATGCC